CGGGCCTAGGAGGAGCCTGCAATGAAGGTATGGCCTTTGACTGGAATTGAACCCAAGACCCCCCTCCCTTTTGAAAAAAAAATTTTTTTTTTTTTTTTATTGATTTCAGAGAAGGGAGAGGCAGAGATAGAAATATCAATGATGAGAATAACTGGACTCAGCTGGGAGATTCTTCTGCTCCAGGTTATCAGCTGAGGTCACTCAGGGGCTTGCCTGGGCTGGAACTTTCAAGATGGCTCAACCAGATGTCTGGCAGCTGGGATCTGAGCTGGAGCTGATTAGAGCAACTCCAGGTGGCCTGTGTATGGATCGCTTGGGTTTCTAAGCTCGCTGCCTCCTGCACGCCTCTCACTGGGAGTTGAGCCTACAACCCAGCAAGTGCCCTTGACCCAAGACCCTTTAGTCTGCAGGCCAATGCTCTATTCACTGAGCCAAACCGACTAGGGCTCCCTGCCTTTCAATCTGGACTGGGCCTGTGACTCCTTGTGGGCACAAGCGATATTCGGGACCTGCCATCACAGGTTTAAGAGGCCTGGCAGCTTCATTTCCTTCCTCTTAGAATACTAACTGCTGGATGCTCCCTCTTGGAAGCTGGCTCAGAAACCCAAGCCATCCATACACAGGCCACGTGGAGGAAGGGATTGCTCTGTCCACCAGCTCCAGCTGAGGTCCCAGCTGCCAGACATCTGGTTGAGCCATCTTGAATGTTCCAGCCCAGGCAAGCCCCTGAGTGACCTCAGCTGATACCTGGGGCACAAGAACCTCCCAGCTGAGTCCAGTTAACTCAGGTCATTCTGTGAGGGAACAAGAAAATGGCTGTAGTTTTAAATCACTGAGTTGCAGAGGGGTTTATCATGCAGTGATAGGTAACCAAAACAGCCACCCTTCTGGCCACCTTTACCTGACCCAGGAGTAGGCTTGTACCCAACCTGACTCCGGTTAGAACCACGAAAAGAGCCTCGTTTTCTTTCTAGTGGCAAAGCCAGGAGGTGTGAGGCCCAGGAGCCTCCTCTATCCTGCAAAGAAAGCCAATTCAGAAGAAAGATGGCAGAGAGAGAGCAGCATGGATGCAGTAAGGGAGCACTGGACGAGCTGGAGCTTGATTCTAGTGGGCTCGAGATCAGGCTGCCTGGCTCTCTTCCATTAACAAAACCTCCCCTTTACCCCAGCTAGTTTGAGTTGGGCAACTTAAATCAATAAACCTGATTGAAATGCTGGCTCAGCATTTCTAAGAGCACCAAATCAACAACCACACCTGGCTGATGGTGTTATGCCCAGACTTCGTGATCCCCAAGGACCACCAGGGAGCCGAGTCCGATGCAATAAACAAAAGAGCCTGTACCATGCTAGCAATGGGCTCCTCCCACTCATGCCGGCAGCATGGCGGAAGAGAGCAAATTTCTTCCGGTCCAGGGGTTTTGAGGGCTAGGGATAACTCCGCCCTACGGGGCGGAGTTGGGAGCTCATCCTCGCCCCGCCCTGCCCTTTCATTGGCTGATTTTAATACCATTTTATACTCACCATATGGCAAACACATAAAGTCTGACGGTATCAAGAATTGGGGAGGGTGTAGGCCAATGTGGGAGTGGGTTATTTTTGGAAAATAATTCGTTATTATCTAGAAAGTTGGAAATGTGCCTACCCTACCACACAGCAATTGTGCTTCTACGGTAGGTACATACCCTTAAGGAACTTGTGCACACACAAGAATATTCAAAGTAGCGTTGTAATAGTTTATACCAGCAAAAACTGGGAGCTATTTTATTTTATTTATTTTAAATCAATCTTTATTGTTCATATTATTACAAAGGTTCCTCATTTCTTCCTCCTTCCACCAGGTTCCCACCCCATCCTCCGCCCCCTCCCCACCCCCCATTGTCCTCATCCATAGGTGCACAGTTCATGTTCAGTCTCTTCCCCTCCCCCACAACCAGAACAGTCAGTCCACTCCCCTCCCATAACACCGACTCTACTACAATGAACCGCTATTATTGTTCATCAGGTTTTTCAATCTCCTTTTTTTTTAATTAATAAACTTTTACACTTCTAAGAATAAATTTTAAAATCTAATAATTTTAAACCTTGGTTTTTTTTCCCTGCCCTGGGAATTGAGAGCAAACTTGTTTACATGTAAACTTGCCCTTAGGCTATCAAAAGGTGTAGCCATTCAAGTGTAAATGGACGCAGAGTTGTTTAAACATAGCTGCTGGTTGGAATTGGATTACCTCTTCTGGGTGCGAAGGGCTTGTCATTCCCTTTCTCCATTAAAATTAAGGTGTTAGCCGAAACCGGTTTGGCTCAGTGGTAGAGCGTTGGTCTGTGGACTGAAAGGTCCCGGATTCGATTCCGGTCAAGGGCATGTACCTTGGTTGTGGACATATCCCTGGTAGGGGGTGTGCAAGAGGCAGCTGGTCGATGTTTCTCTCTCATTGACGTTTCTAGCTCTCTCTCTCTCTCCCTTCCTCTCTGTAAAATATCAATAAAATATATATATTTTAAAATTAAGGTGTTAGCTTTAAAACCTCTTTTTGGCAAGAGACCTTAAACTTTCAGAACTTTAAATTTTTCAGATAGTAAATCAGTTACTTAGCATTTTCTCAAATCAATAATACCTCCACATGCCCAGGGATACACTTCACACAAAAGACATTTCCAAATAGATCAACCAACCTCATCCAGGCCCCACACAAGGCACTTACAGATTTACACCCCAGCGCTATACTAACTCAACACATCCAGATCTAAGCCTTCCTCATTTGATTCAGCAGACCCTCAAGTTCCCCCAAAAGTTTCCAGCCATGTCTGAGGGGCAGCCTTGGGGTGGGGGCAGGCGAGGAGCGAGCTGTTCAGGGCCTGGCCTCTGTTGCTCTGGGAGCTATTTTAAACATCTAATATAAAGAGAATAGATGAAGAGTTATTTCATAACAAAACTTAAAATTTTTTATTAACTTTTAGAGTAGGAGGGAGAGAGAGAGGAGAGAAAAAAAAAGAGAGAGGAGAGAGGAGAGAGGAGAGAGAAGAAGAGAGAGGAGCCACATGGATCGGTGCCTCCTGCACACACCCCAACTAGGGACTAAATATGCAACTGGGTTATGTACCCTGACTGGGAATTGAACTGGTTACCTTCTGGTGCAAGGAATTACTCCAACCAACTGAGCCACACCAACCAAGGCCATAATAAAATTTTAAATGAATTTTTAAAAGGCATATTTTACCAGATTGAGCTAAATACTAAAATCCAACCTTATGCCTAATACAAAGGACACATTAACCAAAATCACATGGAAAAGTTAAAAATAAAGGGGTAGACAGACAAAAAATAAAGGGGTAGATAGATATTTTTTTTAAAAAAAGACAGAAATAGCAATGCTAATCTAATGTAGGATAAATTAGAATTCAAGGAAAAAATCATAACAGTTTAGTGTGTTGTCTCATACATAAATATATGTAATCCACAATGGAAATGTTATCAGTCACAAACCACAATGAGATAAACAGCATAGCCTCAAAATATACAAAACAAAGAATAACAAGAAAAAAATCAAGGAAAATAACTGAAGCACAATTTAATTTTTAAAAATATATATTTTTATTATTTCAGAGAGGGAGAGAGATAGAAATATCAATGATGAGAATCATTGATCAACTGCCTACTGTTTGCCCCGCACTGGGGATAGAGCCCAAAACCTGGGCATACGACCTAACTGGAAATCGAATCGTGACCTCTTGGTTCATAGGTCGATGCTCAACCACTGAGCCATACTGGTCGGGCTATTTTTAATATTTAAATTTCACAGTAAAAATTTTTTGGGTGAACAGTTCTTCTAGTTTTGACAAATGCATAAAGTCTTGTAACCACCACCACAATCAAGATACCGAACAGTTCTATCACACTTCAAAATGCCTTCATGCTGCTCTTTGTGGTCATATCTCCCCCGCTTCCCCTTTCCTGGAAATTCTTTGATCTGTTCTCCATCCTTATAGTTTTGTCTTTTCCAGAATGTTCTATAAATGGAATCATACCATCTTTTGAGTCTGGCTCCTTTCACTCAGCATAATGTTTTTGAGACTCTTATACGTGTTGCATGCATCAATAGTTTATTCTATTTTATTGCCGAGTAGCATTCAATTGTATGGATGTACCACAATTTGCTTACCATTCACCCAGTAAAGGTCTTTGGGGTTGTTCCAGTTTTGGGGGGGGGGGGGGGAGGAGAAGGGATTATGAATAATGTTGTTATAAACATTTGTGTACAGGATTTTGTGTTAACATAAATCTTCATTTCTCTTGGGTAAAAACCTAGGGACAACTAGGTCATATATAGGGTAAGTGTATGTTTAACTTTATAAGAAACTGTCTGATTTCTTTTCCAAATGGTTGTACTATTTTGTGTTCCCAAAGAGTAATGGAGCAAATTTCTTGTTGCTTTGCATTCTCACCAGCATTTGGTATTTGATGCATAATCTTAACACATCACTATCAATCAATGACAGAACATAACTCACAATCAACTATAAAATAGAGATATGGATGATATAATTACAACTAAGGCTGAATTGATAAATATTTCATGTCAATATTTGCTGATGATAATAAAACCATCTGCATTTCAAGAATCTGTGGAACATATAAAAATAGATCATATTCTACAATAGTTAAAAAAAACTTTAATACAAAAACAAAACAAAACAAAAAACTTTAATACATTTCCCAATGTAGAAATTGTATCACACTGTAATAAATATTGATAATTGATAACACACGTTTAAACAGCAATAAAAATAATCATATAGAAGTGACAAAACACTTGCCAAAATAATTATTACTCTAAATCAAATAGGAATTTTAAAATTAACTAAAGACTGAAAAAATAAAGAGGCCCGTTCAACTACAAGCTCGTAGGTTAAAATGTTTCATCATTTTACACACACACACACACACACACACACACACACAAACCCACCAAAAAACATTTTCCTTATAAAGAGGCAAAAAGAAAAGAATTCCCAAAAAGAAGATATATGTACTACTATATGTAATACTTTAAACAATAAAAAAATAAAAAAAAATAAAAAGAATTCCCAAGGAAAACAGGAAGGAAATGAAGATAACCAGAAATTGACTGTTTACTGTTCCTTTTCCCAGTAACTGAAGTTCTTAGAGCACAGGGTCATATTGCTATATCCACTGATGAAGAGTGTGCCTGGCTCTCAATGAGCTCAATATTTAGCAACTTTTAACTTTCCCAAAGGTAGGCCTTCTCTCCTTTGGGCTCCCACAGTAGGCTGCTATCTTGGAGTTTATTCAAGTATTGGAACCACTTAAGTTTTCCACATCAAAAAAAGTCCTCTTAATAACAAGTATTTGTTTGCCACTCAGAATGTGCCAGGTGATTGGCATTAATCCACTTAATCATTACAACTTCTCTTGGATATTCTTTTTCAGAAATTGAGGCCGAGAAAGGTTAAGTGACCAAGGTCGTGGAGCGAACTCATCACACTTTCAAGATTTGGTTGCACACAATCCTCCTTTCCCGCACACAAGCTCTTTCCAGTGAATTCAGGGGCGAGGCTCGCTTGCCACCTTTGTACCCACAGCTCCTAACCTAGCTACTGGCACCGAGTAGCTCAGACAAACCAGGCATTACTTGCGTTCTGTTGTTTGTAAAGTTTCCTTTTGTGGGTGGGCCATAGACAGACGCGCTCCGGACTAGCCCGCAACCGAGCTGTGGAAAGAAATCTGGAAGAATTTGGGACCCGGCTCGCCTTTACGTCTCTCTAACCTCCCACTCTATGGTTGGCTTGTAACCACTCTATATTCTGGAGGACTCAGCGAGCGCGACCAATCATTAGGCCAGTTCCCAGGCGCGTGACCGGAAATTTGACTCGCCATTGGTTAATACTAGTAAGGCCCGCCTCACCACCTCCTGCCTGCTTCTTTAAGGAGGAGCCCTGGGAGTCTCTCGGTCTCTCGGCGGCAGTAAAGCTTGCGAGGTGAAGCTGTATGCGCGGCGGGCTGTGGTGGGTAGGCCTCGGTGATCGGGGCCCTGGAGCCGGGTGGGAGGCGAGTGGCCAGCGGTGATGACATCTACAAAGCACGTGTTAGACTGCTGACAAGGGTGATGCGAACTAAGACTCTGAGCCTGGCCGCTGTGGGGGCCACGAGGGAACAAGCCGGGGGGACGCACCCGCTTACCCACCGCTCTCGTTGCAGGTCCGGCCGCCCAAGGACGTCGGATCCATTGTCCTCCCAGCGCTGCGACCCTTCCCTGAAGGCTCCCAATAAAACAGATTGTTCCTACCGCTGGTGTCTGTGTTTCTTGTCGTGACGCGCTGCCTTTGAGCCCCCGCCGCGCCTGCGTGTGGCGCCGGGGGTCAGGCTGCAGCGCCAGAGCAGTTGCTTGCGCATAACTGGGGCCCGCGGCGCTCTGCCGGCGGCCCTTTTAACCGGGAGCGACACGGCGGCTCGCTCTGTCGGGGTCGGGTTTTCCCAGCCTTTGAGCTGAGGTTGGAATGCCCTAAGGAGACGCTGGGCATCCTGTAAGTTCTGTTACCGAGTGCCCCCCGCATTTCCTGTGCGTGCCCTGTAGGTCCCGGCTCTCCCATCAGTGAGACAGACCTGCACCTTAAGTTAACCGCGGTGTGGGTGGCGATGGAGAAAGGGGTGGTGGCCTTGAGCAGTTTAAGGACGTGGTGTGTTCGATAGGAACCGGCTTCGGTCTGAGTGTATTAAGAACTTAATCTGGCTAACGTGTAAACTGCGAGCTTTTTACAAAAGCTACCACTGAATGACCACGCTTATTTGAATGGGGCTAAAGCGTTGGGTGACTGTCCCAGTTAGCCATAACTGCTTAGAACAGTAGTTTTGAAGGTTAGGTTTTTATGGTTTACTGGGCACAACATGAGCTCCTGGAGTAATCCAGATTCTAATTTAACAATCTAACCTGGGCTTTGATTTAATATGCATCACTTCTGAGTGGGAGGAAGCAAGAATAAACTGCCTTGAAAACTGGAGGGAACCCCAAGGAACAGGACTACTGAGCAACAGTGTTCAAAACTGTTTCCCCTCAAATTAAATGTGGATTGAGGATAATAGCACTTCCCTCTTGTCCGCAGGAAACGGTGCCCAAGTGTCCCTATTTAAGTAGAACTCAGTAGAAATAAAGATGCCTTTAGTAATCGACATGAGATTTATTTTGTGAAAGAATGCAAGCAATTGTAAATCCCCCATATACTATTTTAAGTGCAATAGGGTACAGTCATGTGTCATCTCTTTACAGTCCACAGTAGTGCATCTAGTCCTCTGCCTTTAGTTATTGCACAGAAATTACAAAGACCAGTGAACAAGACATGCGTACTGACTGGCAAACTGGCCTACACGATGAGAAATGGAACAGTACACTGACTGGGATGGTCAAATTTAAGACAAATGGTTAATGGTGCAATTAAAGTAATCAAGGGTTCAGATCTTTTTCAATATATTAATTTCTTTAAAGTCATGTTCAGGCAGGGTGCTGTTTAAAAAAACAGTACATATAAATGGTCAAAAGTTACCCAAGATAATTTTGATGTTGAATGAGCTTTAAACAAATTTTAAGTTCTCAAAGCAAATTATACAGTTAGGGCCTCCACACTTGTAAACGAAACATTCTGACACAAATGCACAAATTAAAGTTGGCAACGTTGAAGAAATGTCACATTAATTTTGAGATATGTAGTGTTTGACGAGCAGGCTTTTGGTCTTGACTTGTGATAACGGATGTTAAGTTTGGTTCATCAGAAGGAACTGACCACAATAGATCCCAAACTAGGAGAGCAAAGCCTTTACATACCTCTATAAAGTTTCCTGGAGCACACCAGAAGACGCTGATCCTGGTTATGTGGTGGTTAACGTTTTCATGTGCTGTCGGGAAACTATTTGGGATTAGAACCAGGTGGTTATATATAATTGGTAAAAGGCTTGGGATAGTTGGATCTTGTGTCAGTGTATGTTCTATGGCTACTTGTTTCCAAGACAGAAATTAATATGAAGAAAAGGCTGCTATGCAAATCTTTATCACCAATGAAGTAGTTTACAAAATTCCATTCCCCACCCTCCACATGGTACCACAATGACATTCTCAAAATGTGGAGGGATGTATCACATAAAAACTAGGAGTGAGAAAATGTTCCACTTGTGCTCTGGCTGCCTGAGGAAAAGCTTTGGAGTTGAGACGAGGGGAAGGGAGCCTTCCAATTGTAGCTTTGCTCTTAATGTGCTCTTGCTGCCACAAAAACTGGTAGACTCAAAGCCATGGTATGAGTCACAAAACCTCTGGATCCACCTTGATTCTTCCAATCTCCTTTGAGTCAAAGTCTTGCAGTAGGCAATCCAGACACCAGTTGCTGGATGCATGGAATGACGCTCACAGTGGAATGGGCACTGGCAGGCAGAGGGCAGAAGCTGTGGTGAGAGGAGAGGCCTGTGTTACAGCAGACGGGCAGCCAAGAACCCCGCACCTGAAGCTAGATTTCAACACTGGCAACGTCGTCAGGTCTTTACCCATCACAGCTGGTCAGCAGTCTCCACGAGCGGGTCTTTCAGGAGGCAGGAAGTGGAACGAGGGTCCATGGCTGAGTGCATTATAGGGACATAAACATCATCCATGTTTGGCATGACAAAAACTTTCTGTAGGAAGAAAGAACAGCCATGTAAAAATGTTTTTTTGTGTGTTTTTTTTTTCACTTTTCTTTGGTGATGTTAAACTTTCCAGAAATTGGTTTTGTTATATTTAATCTATAGCTTTTAAGTAATAAAAAGCTTCCATGGCAGTAACTCAAAACATACCACTACAAAAATATGTGTCTTTTAAAGGTGAAATTCAGTACAAAGCAAGTTGCTAATACATAAAACCTTGAGAGACAACTGTGCCTCGAATATCTGGTTAAAATTTGATAAAAATAGCTCATCCCTACTAGCTGGCCAATTTCAGGGCCACAAAATCCAAAGATGGCCTGCTAGTGCTTAACCTTCGCCGAGCCTACTGATAAAAGATAATTTTGCTCTTTGGCTCCACCTTTTGTGTTTCCTTTTTGATGACCACTTAATAGGGTGCTGTGGATGAGTTTCAGAAGCCACCTGAAGTTTACACCTGTTTGGTCATATGTGTACTTTCCTGGGATGAGGCTCCTCAGAGGAGGATCCTGACCCACATGAAGTTCAGAGCCTCTGTTCTCTCTACCCAGAGCTAGCCTCAATGTGAAATGCGAGATGACACCGCAGGTGTACCTGAAACTCTTGCTCCAGTTTCTTCTCTATCCAGTCTGTCACATGAACTAAAGTCACTTCTCTCTCTCCAAGTTTTGGCCGAGCTTTCAGCTCCACATATGGTGGCTTCCGGAAACCATACCTTTTTAAAAAGACAAATAACTACATTTAGAAGCAAGAAAGGAAGCAGACAAGTACCAACAGCACACATTCCTCATTTACATAGGCCTTTACCACTATTTAACCATTCTTATTCTGATAATCCCCTCTGGAAAGTAATTCAGCACAGTAAGGATGATCTGAACTCCCTGTGTCCTGGGCCATGTGTAGGGCTGTGATGACCTGAGAACAGTTCTGACAAATGGCAAGCCAGGAAGCCCCAAAATAAAAACCAGTGACCTGGGCTTGGTTTTCCTAAAATGGGAACAACCTTTCTGGTTCTATTTTTATAACAGTATATATATATTATAAAGCACAAAATATAAAAGTATATACAGCAGAAAGTGAAAGTGGCTCTCTCTGAATATCACCCCCAAAATGGGACACTGAGAGAAGTGGTCATGTTCCCCGCACCTAATATGCATGTGTGTAGAGAACATTCTATAGCCTTTTTCATTTCACATTCCCTACCACTTACTGTGGCTTCTCCAGGAGTAGACTGTACTAGGACTTGGTAAAGTATCCAGACAAGAGACTATGTGCTATCAAACTATCTAAAAACTTCTATTTGTCATAGACCAATGTTTTAAAAAATACAATAAAAATGTCAAATTGCTATAAATGTTCTAAACATCCTCAATATCTAGACTTATCTTTGTGGATCATTAATAATTCAGCATTTGAGCAGGCATCCTAGAGGCCTTCAATTTTATCTCCCACTGAGCAGTGGCATTTATAACAGATAAAGCTTAGAAGGGAAAGAAATGTTATCTACTCTTAGTATTTAAAAACATTTTAAATTAGGTTTGGAAGACTGTACAGAAAGGTATTAACTGGTTATTTTTGGATGATAAGATTATAGGCTTTTCCCCCCTATGAAAATATTACTTTAAAAAATAAAATCTAAAATGACATTTTGAAGTTTCTACTGGGAGACACCAATACATAATTAACTGATGAGTCAATTCAAAAATCCTTTGGATCATCCCCACAAACTCTTCTGAACACTGAGGATGTGTACTGCTAGCAGGTTGGTTTCACTCTATGATAGAACAGAGCTTTTCATTCGAGTGTAGTTCATGGTACCATGGGTTCTCTTATGCAATCCTGTATACACTTACGTACATTTTAGAGGACATGGAATGTCAATTTTAAATTAAGATTCACAGACTGATTTTCTTCTGCTGGACCCATGAGTAATTCATTTCAGTGATTCTCAATCCTGGCCAGTTCCCCAATCCTTGACTCCTGGACACTGGGCCGGGAATATCTTTAACAAACTCCCCTGGAACTGTGATATACAGGTGGGTTGAGAACCACTATTTCATTCAGTTACAACTCCCTAGATAGACCTCCTACCACAGTTCCAAAGTGCACACGTTCTTGCCTCCTGAACATCTAGGCCCAACCCAAGGAGTCTTCCCTAAAGGCATGGGACTCTGCTGAAGGTGTGATCCCTTCTGTAAAGGGCACCTATCTCCAAGGATGCTGTGAGGACTGCCCGGTCAAGCAGTTACACCTGGGCCAGGCACAGAAGAAGAGCTCTACAAACGGCAGCTGATCTTACTGGTGGGACTAGTTGGCTCTAGAGAGGAGGAAGATCAAAAATAGACAGCTCATCCCATCAACTTCACCTACTGACCTTGTGAAGGTGAATCTAAGTGTGAATTAACCATTCGCAGAAAAATGTAGGTTCCATGAAAGAAAAACATGAAAGTGCTTCTGCCCAGGAGAAGGTACTTTCCATCATGTCAAGGACATGCAGGCTGGGATTTTTATGGTCACGCAACAAGGGAAATCCCAGCCGTCCCTGAGGGCTCATCTACATACCATATTCGGTCACTTGGGGGTGGTGGAATGTTGACTGCCAAGGTTCCTCTACATTCCTGTACTTC